CATGTAAATTTTGCAGAGGAAATAGAAGGTAAGAGAGTACTTCCTTATCGAAATTATATTGTGTGCCCATGACTATAAACCACTAAAACAATGATGGTTGCCATGTTGGATGATTAGGCCCCAGTCCCAATAGAATTCTGACACTTTTACGTCACCCAAGTGATTTGCAATGCATTGTGGGGTCAGCTTTTCGAGAAATTTTTTTTCACCAACATCCTACAAAAAAAAAATTGCGTATATGACGTAAAAGCTTCAGAGGTCTATTGCTCTGAAAAATGCCATGTGCTCCATTCAGATTAATGTGGACTTATGGATTGACTTGATCTTGTTTCCAAAGCTGAAACTACAGAAAAGCTTGCAATAGCGTTCCTAGTACTATCTGTACTCGTACTGATAGTGGTTCTAATCGTACTGTACGTCGTGTGTAAGAAATCAAGGCAGAAACCAGAACAGATCTTGAGGTACGATATCGATTCATCAATACTACTATTAATAATAATATCAATAAAAATATCACTGATTGACAGGAAGGACGCGGATCAGAACTTAACAGTTGAAGAAGACAGGAGAGCATCATACACTCCAAGTATCTATGAAAAGCCTTCTYATGCTCCTCCCACACATCTGCCTCCTCTTCATACTGAAGGGGRAAAAATAAAGCATAAAAGTAATGGACGCAATACGCAGGTAACTAATAYAAGGACAGACAGTTCTTGAAGATATAAACAGCACTAAGGTCAGCCCAGAACTAAGCATACACGGCTCGATTGAAACTCCTTGTGCTAGTTTGTAATAGTTGTACTGAATATCGTTCTAATCGAGGAAACCAAAAAAGCAAATAAACATTCATTAGGGCAGATTTTTACTGTTTCTTGCTTCAATTCAGTTATGTTTGACTTAGAACATTTTGAAAAATAGTAATTCAAACATTGACTAAGGGCCATCAGCAACCGACATTCAATGCGGTCTTCAATGCGGTCTTGCATGTTTGATATGGAAAACTAAAAAGAGATGAATTCCAATATCCGTCTCTATRAAATATCTCTATTAAAGAACTATAAACATGTATAATAAAGAGTAACTTTGTGTTTATATTACAATGTCTCTTATTTTCAAATTGTGGCAAAGCTCGCAAGTTATATCGTTTGTTGATGGGCCTTTTTTCAAGGGTTGTTKTTKTTTTT